AATTCAGAAAGGTTCTGTGGCATCTTGAGAGTAGAGAGCCATGGCATGAACCTGGCCCAATTAGCTGCAAAGCCCAGGCTGTGGGGAACTCCATGGTGTCTAAAAATTAGATATTCACAGTCTTTAAGAAGGGAAAAGGGGATCTACAGACTTCCTTGACTCCTTATCATCTCCTAACTTTTTTTCTCATTTTTCATTTCATAGATGTGTTGCATACATCTCCCCAGTTCATGAGTTCCTAGGGTTCCCCAAATCTCAAAAAGATGGTATCAACTGGGCTGGGGTTTCAGCTCAGCAGTAGAGGGCTCACCTAGCATTTTGAGGCACTGTGTTTGATCCTCAGCACCACATATAAATCAATAAAATAAAGGTACATATATTTTAAAAAAGATGGTTTCAACTTCATGCTTAATGTCTTCAGATATTCATTTAGTCATCCACACATTTTCTAGTACATATTTATTGAATGTTTACTATACGACCATTGACTTTAGGCTGTAAAGTGGGAATAGTAATATTGAAGATATTTGTGAAATATTTATGAAATTTATTGTATTTTATGATTTTAAGTTTAAAATATCCTGATTTTTCTTCATTAGAAAGTATAAACTGTTCTTTCCACATTTATTTGCTCTACCAAATTGAGGTCAAAATGTGAAAACAATTTTCACAATTATGTCTGATTTATAGAAGAGGGAATCTGAAAATCACAGTGAGATTGTAAAATCCATAAAGATGAACAGACTCCTCCTGGGGAATTTATGAACCTTGAAAAAGGTGGAGAGCCCCTGGTTGTGTGTCGTAAAAGTACAGTTATTCATATATTCCTCTCACCTCCCACCCCCACACCAAGCTTCATAAATCTAGTGTTGTGACATCAAAGTGAAGTGTTTTGCACTTTGCATAACATATTGTGGTGCTAGTTCCCATTTGGTGAAGGATGTGTTCCTTAGAACCTTGAGCTAGATATCTGAGAGCCAGCCTTTTTGGCACCAGGCTCTACCCCTCTGTGCACTGCTTGTAGATCCCATTGTTCTTAGTGCCCTCATCTTTGTGCATCACAGTTGCTCCTTAGTAGAGCTGGTTCTAGAAACTTAATTTTTCAACCTTAGCCTAACACCTTTGCACTCCACTTCCACTCCAAATTTTTAGAGAAAAGAGCCATTCAACATACAAGATGATACTGTACACAGTCCCTAAAAGATAGTTAGAATAGTTTCTTCCTTTCTTGATGACTATAAAAATTAAATTTAAAAAAAAAAAGGTTTGTTGGATTCATTTGTAAAGATACCTATTGTTTACAAAGAAATCTGGCACAACAATGATGTCATTTTTCCTTTGGCAGTAACCTGCTCCTAAATGTTGAAACCACATGATTTTAGAAAAAATGAGCTTAAATGAGTTGCATTTGAACCTTCTGGTGGGGGCCAACCACTAGGAGAAGAGGGGTAAAAGATGGTGAAGTCCGCTTGGGAACCTTACAGTTCCAAGAGAAGATGTGCACAAATTTTTTTCTTAATTTTCCAAAGGTTTAAGTTCCTCAACTTTAAGAGTGATGATGGTATACAGTTCATAGCATTTCTGTGGATTTCACACATTCATATGTGAAGAGCTTTTCAGGGATCCTGCACTAGCTATCTAATGGCCAGCATCAAAAAGACCAGGCTGACTCTCCCTTCTTCCACTCCTAAACCCTCATCTATTAGAAACTGATCAAGGATGTGCTTTCACATCTCCATACAATGCTCCCAGCTCCAAATTCTTACTGCAACCCAAAGAATCCTTGTGACTGGGAAGCACCTTGAGGCCATGGATGCAGAAGGAAAGGTGCTCCTCGGTGCACCTTTTCTAGAGGAAGCCTTTGAAGACAGTGGAACCTTCTTAGTCTTTCTGGAAGATTGCTGATACACAGCTCCCCCCCAAAAAAAAAATCCAAAACAAACAAACAAAACTTATTTTGAGGATCCATGAAAAAGCAAGACTCAAATTCAAGAGAAGAGCAACAGAGGTATTAAGACATTCTTTACACCTGGGTGAAATAAGGAAGATATGTGAAATTAATGGGATTTTCAATTAAATTTGGTATATCCTTGCTACTCTATAACGGTCAACCATGTTTAACCACACAGATTGAAGCAGAAATGGAAAGGGCAATCCTTCTTCCTGGATTTGTACCACTTGCCCTGCCTCCCTCCAAGAAGGTGCACACCAGAAGCCTCCTTCTGACAGGAGAGCCAGAAGCCTTAATTGCTGCTCAGCCTCCTCTGGCTCCCTGCTGTGCCATGCTGCCTAATCAGTCTTCTTTGACTGGAAACTCAATATCTCCTACAGAAAGCCTGCAATCATGCTTTGAAGTTATTTGCATCCAGTCAGAAGCACCTTTTAGTTCTAGTTCTAAATTGAGTTCCTAGGTGGTTTCAATCCCCTAAGAAGTAGGGCAGCTGAATTCTATAGCAGTCACAGGAGGCCACAGTCCTTAGTCACATCAGTGAATTGATGCATAAAACTGACAGCACTGTAAATCTCTTCATGCAGGTAAGAAACAGTAACCAGTGCTGGGCTTTACATTCTACAATGTGATTTTTTAGGGGAATAAGGCACATGTGCCTTACCCTTATTGGCAAGGGTACCTTGGGGTTTAGCTAAATTCCTAGAGGAGAGGCATGCTAGAATTTGGCTTGGATCTCCTGGAGCCAAGGATGTAGCCACTCACTGCCCCAACTCCAGTTCAACATCTTACAGCAAAGCCAGATGTTTGCATAGTGATGCAGTCTTCTTCCTTCAAGCAGTGGGTTACCTATGACCCCATCCCTGCTGTGCTTGGTGTGAAAGAGCATATGGAGAAAAAGGAAGAAAGGATTTACTTTCAATTTTATCATTTATTATTCACCTTGGTTAAATAGCACCCACCTCGAAAGGGTAGGGACCACATTAAAAGTAGATTAATGGGTAAGACGCCCAGCAGGGAACTGAACTAAAGTAGAAACTCAGTTCTGATTCTTCCCTCTTGTCCTTCTCTGCCTTCACATGCATCAAGATCCCTTCTTGCTAATTGCACCTCTTTACTCCTCCCTGTTAGACAAATACATTTTCATTATCACAGCCAACAGATTTGGCCCTCTGCACCAGCCCTGTCCACAAGCCCAGTATTGCACAGGCCAGCAACAGTATTTATCTCAAGGTGACACTTGTAATGGATGATTGCTGCACTTCTTAATCCATTTATGTAATCCTTCCTGCTTTGCTTGCAGTTATTTCCAGGGCTTTAGCAGCAATAAAATGGTTCCTTTCCCAAGACAGAGTTCATTCAATTTAAATCTGGATTGATTATAGCTAAACTTATGACATGTCTTTACAAAGAAAGAAAAAAAACAGCAATAAATTATGCACAGTGATTATTTAGCATTTATTCAGTCCCCACAGTGTCCTGGACTCAGCATATAGCAGTTGGAGAAAAATCCATGCCCTTGAGAATTCGAAGCACAGTTGCACATCTGAAAAGCACACGGGGCAGGACATCAATCCAGCTGCCATTCAAGGGGTCATCTAGCCATATGGTTGGTCTCCTTCTTATTCTCAGTGAAATTTGCTGACTATATGGAGTTCATGGACTCAGCCTACCCTGTACCTTCATGACCTTCAATCCCTCGGATGCATAATACTGTCCACATCCTAGGTTTCTGACCTCTGGCCCCAAAGTCACCTCCTTGCTACTCCTCAAGCAGTTTTGGTTAAGACTAAGGTACTTTCCGGGGCTAGATCCAGGGTCAGCATGATGAAGCCTGCCTAGCATATGTGGTCTTCTTCCTGTGGCAGGGAAGTGGTGGTGGAACCTGTGCAGACAAAAGGGCTTCCTTCCAACCACATCCTTGTGAGAAGACACCTGTGTATGTGCGAGCCAGACAGAGGATTTGAATGGCAAACGATGGATGGTGGGATGTATTTGAGAACACCACTTAAAATACACTTTATGGGACACAACAACAAATTTAATTCAAGCAAAGATTTATAACTTAGATTTGAAAGTTTCGAATGACACTGTTAATTCATTGTAGTCCCATCAACCTCAGTCCTTCATAATCATTTGCATGAAGTCATCACCAAATGAGAGAAAGAGGGAGAAATGATTTGATTTTTTTAAAAAATGTCAGCCATATTTTAAAAGGAAAAAATGAGGGTAGAGGCAATCAAATAAATCAAGATGAATGAAAAAAGCCTGGTATTAAATGAGTACCAGGCACACTCTGTATTCACCCCTTCAAATGTTTACATATTATAGATGAGGAAACAGAGGTCTGAGTCAATAAATAACTTTCCCACTAAAAGGAGGCACAACTGTGATAAAGCTGTCTGTCATTTCCCTGCAGAGCTCAGGCACTCCCACTGTGGAGGACTGCCATCGAGGACACAGGGCACAGACATGCATCATGCCCACAACAGAAGACCATTTCTTTTAACATTTTGGTTAATTTTGGAGTTAAAATAAAACTAAAACCTTATCTTTTCTCATGCTTCCTTGTAGAAACTTCATTGCCAGATACGTATGTTGGAGTAATTGTCCCTAATATGTCATTGATACAATTAAAATTGTATTTGAGTAATGACTTTGAGTCAGGATTTATTTAGAAGCAAGAAGCAATTTATTTGTGTTTCTTGAAGATAAAGGCAATTATTTTAAATTGCCAACTATTACATTTTCTTTCCTCAGAACTTTTGTTTTTTGCATACAAAAAGCTACCAGAAAATTTGAGCCCAGATACAGACTTTTGCAGGTTTCATATTGTTTTGTTTTTGTAGTTATTTTTGAAGGGCAGATAGGATCAAAAGACAAATAGTTCTTCTACCTGAGGAGCCCTGCAATTGAGAAGCCAAGGACAGATTTAATCCCTCAGTTTGGGTTGTCTTTTACACAGTCTTCCCATTCTATTCCCAAAACACATGCTGATCATTTGTGCTTATGAGTGTGTGTTTGCTCACACAGTGTGTGCGTTTGCCCACAGTTGACCTGGACAGGCTCAACGATGATGTCAAGCGTTACAGTTGCACTCCCAGGAATTACTCCGTCAATTTAAGACAGGAGCTGCAATTGACCAACGCAGTCTTCTTTCCACGTTGCCTCCTCGTGCAGCGCTGTGGAGGAAATTGTGGCTGTGGAACTGCCAACTCGAAGTCCTGCAGGTGCAATTCAGGGAAAACTGTGAAAAAGTATCACGAGGTATGTCATTCGCCAGTTTCTTGTTCTGATGCTTCATTGAGTTCTTTTCTAACTACATCAGCTCTATAACCTTGAGGCAAATGGAAGACAGTGCTGCTGAATGTGGTTGTTCAGGTAATTCACCCAGCCACCAGGATGATTGGGAGCTAAAATTCTACCCCAGCTAGGCTTGCAAGCCAGTGTCCTGGAGAAAGGCTAATCTATTCTGAAAAAGGGACTTTGTTTTCTAATTTTCAAAATGTACCATGTGGTCAATAATAGCCTTGTTATAATATATAATCAAATGTATGGTACAATAATTTCACAGCTTAGCTGGACTCCTTTTGGGAAAGATGATGCAATTCAGATACAGGACAACTGAAAATTTAGGTTGCAGTAAGAAAATGGTAAGGACCAAACTTTAATTTAATTATTTACAAAAAGGAAGCGTAACAACAATGGCAAAATATAAATTATCAGAGACCTTTTCATTCTTTAAATATGAAAGTACTTTTTTCTAAAATGCTTATTTTTCTGAAATGCTAAATACTGGTTAGCCCTGCCTGGGAATTAGTTCTTGGATCATACAAAAATACATAAGGAGAAGGAAAGCAATTGAAGGAGACCAGTAACCTTTAATAATACTGGTAACAAATCTCTATGAGCACTTACAAGGTACGCTTCAGAGCTTGTCTACCTGTTGTAAAGGGGTGCTATTTTGTTCTCCTTATGAGTGGGTAAACCAAGGCCTATGAGGATCAGTAAGTTGACCAGCATAAAATAGTCAGCAAATCATAAAGCCAGGATATGAACCCCCATCAACTGGTTCCAGAGTCTGTGTTCTTTTTTTTTTTTAATTCTTAGTTTTAAAGTATATTCCATTTTGATTAAATTATACAAGCACGGAATATGATTCTAATTAGGACCCATTCTGTGGGTGAGCACAATGGTGGGATTCACTTAGGTATTTTTATATGTATACATAGGAAAATTATGTTAGATTTATTCTACTGTCTTTCCTGTTCCTATCTCCTGTTTCTTCCTTTCCTAACCCTTTGTCTAATCTACTGAACTTCTCTTCTTCCTCTCCTTTCCCTCATTTATTGTGGGAATAATATCAGTTAAAACATTCAACCTTTGTTTTTGGGGGATTGGCTTATTTCACTTAGAGTGTTAGTCTCCAGATCCATTCATTTACTGGCAAATGTTATAAACTCATTCTTTATGACTGAGTAATATTTCATTGTGTATATATACCATTATTTCTTTATTCATTGATCTGTTGATGGGCATCTAGGTTCATTCCTTAGCTTAGCTACTGTGAATTGTGCTGCTATAAACATTGATGTGGCTGTGTCACTATAATACACTGATTTTAAGTCCTTTGGGTATAAACTAAGATAACTGAGGATTTTGGGGTATAAACTGGGATAACTGAGTCACATGGTGGTTCCATTCCTAGTTTTTTGAGGAATCTCCACACTGCTTTCCAGAGTGGTTGCACCAATTTGCAGTCCCAAATTGATATATGAATGAGTGTTCCATTTCCCCCACGTCCTCGCCAACATTTTTTGTTACTTGTATTCTTGATAATTGCCATTCTGATTGGTGTGTTTGTGTTCTTATTGCTAGTAATGTGCTTTCTCATATGGCACCATATTAAACATAAAAGAATAGAATTAAGGGTGTTAGAGCTGCCCCTGACACTGAGAGTAGCTCTAATTGCTTCTTGATTGTCAGCTGCTCAAGTTTAGAGACTTGGTTTTCACATGTGTGTAATAAGCTGAGAAATCATACCAGATAACCCAAATAAAATAGTAACCATGAAATGCATTTTGCAATGTATAAAACATCATGAAGAAATGTTTAAAAATGTAAGTTGAAATATGAAGTAAACATCATTTTAGGAGATATCATTTGCATTGCTTTTCAGCAATATTCAACAAAACAAAGGAATAGATAGAGGGTTTTCTCTAAATAAGATCTCCAGTTTTGAAAAACTGACTTTTATGGGTGAACTTTTTTTTTTTCCTTGTGGTGCTCGAGAACCCAAGGCATTGATACATGCTACTTCTCTTCTGTACTAGATCTTATACACTGTACTACCAAGCTGTACTCTAAGCCCCAGTTTCTTTGATTTTTATACTGAAAATAATACAATACTAATAATTAAGAGGTAACTTCTGGGTTGGATGAAAATGACATGTCATAACTGATGTTTATAGCCTAGGAAATGTGGAAGGTCCTGTCACAGTATCCAGGCCCACCATAGGCAGTGGAAACACTATTTCAGACCCACATAGAACATATTTTCTTAGCCAGAAGAATTGCTTACTCCACCCCACTGATTTCAAAGGAAAACAAACATGTTCTCATACCTAGAGAATGCCATGGTCTGTATTCATTGTGTTTTATTTTTGTCTGAACTGATGAACTCTAGATTGGCTGCTGCCCTTCACATTTAAAAACCTGAGTTTTGTAATGTTTAGTCATACCCCGAGGATAAATGCAGAATGCAACAATCAGGTTAGAGTTAAAATAATCTAGGAAGTGACAAGATCTCTACCTAGTAATAACTGTGAGGAAAACATTCAAGTTTAGGGCTTTGATGTATTTGTGGAGTGCTTTATTTTTATCTTGACTCTCTGCTCAAATAAAAGTTTCAGCTTAGTTTTTTAAATTTCTCATTGTAGAAATGGCAGAGTTAATCATACACCAGAAGGATTCTCACCGGGCCCCCACTCCCCCATCCCCCTGAAAGTTACCTCTGAAGAAATCTGAAGAGCCCTGTTACCCTCCTCCTCTTAGCTCCTTTCTCTACTGCACACAATAACGGTCACCTGTAAGTTTCTGTTCACAGTTAATATCTAGAGGGGGAAACCTCTGATCTCTTTGTCATGAGTGAGTCTACAATGTTGGCATCCTTTTGAAAGTACACTCTAAAGCATCTCTTTAAAATGTGTCCTAATATCTTCACTTCCAGGACTGCAGAGCTCTGTATAAATTCACTCTGCCAAGTGCTAGACAAAAAGACAAAACAGCATCAATCACTCAGTCAGCAGCTGCATACCTGGAACAAACACTGTCATATTTCCCCTCGACTCCTAAAATATCCTTGGAATGTGTCACAGTTATCACCGTCAAGTGCCCTGCAGAAAGCAGCAGAAAGCTTACTCCATTTCCAGAAATGGGGGTTTGCTTGAGCTTCGTCTCATTAAGGGAAAATTCTAGTCCATTTCTCTATTAGTTCTCTTTCTTTATTCTTGCCTCTGAGAAATGAAAACGCAGTTTCCCCAGCTCATGGTTGCAACTGATGAGATGTGAAATGAGTTTCTATGAGAGATGACACCCTTAAGGGAATAATGAGAACTTGTCACAGAGCAAGCCTGTGTGATTCTCCACAAATACTTCAATGCTCAACATTAGGGAATTAAAATATGCAAAATTAGAACGCTCCTCATGAAGCTGCTATCATGGCCCAGGTCACACTTCTTTTCTTGTGGGGGTTTGAACAGTGTGCACTACCGTACAATATTATCTCCTCTCAAAAGTTTGTGGGCTCCCTGTGGAGTACTTTTCCTCCATCCTAACAGTTGTTCTATGCCTCCTGGAATGTCTAGGAGTAAGGATGGGAAACCATCTTTCCTTCTATTCATTCTGGGCTCATGGCTGAGAACACTATAACGAAAAGCAGATTGACAAGAGAAAAGTATGTAAATTTATTTAATATAAGTGTTCAAGGATGCAGGAAACTTCATAAGGAAATGAAGACCTCAGTGGCTTTCCTATAATGGGTGTGCTGAAGGGTGGATGGTCGTGGAGAAATGATAGGTAACAAATGCAATCTAGTGGGAATAAACGGGGGGCTTTGCTCAGAGTCCTCGTTTTCCTTTGTCTTCAAAGACAACAGCACTCCTTTTCTCTAGCAATAGGGAGAGCTCCTCTCACATGAGGGCCTTCTGTCCTGCTTCAGGGCAAAGTCAGAGCCTCCTTCCTCAGAGGAGAAGGACAAGGGGAAGATGAGAGTGGCCTTTAAAACAGCTTGTGCTGGTTTGAAAGGTACTTTGGGTAGTGATTTTTATGAAAGGGAGGGTTCAATAAAACATATTGTGTAGACATATGAGGATCCTATCATTTCAGTTCTCTTCTTCCCTGGAATAGGAACAGGATATCCCCTAGAAATACAGTGGCCTTTTAAATTAATACCTATGGTTTTTCATTATTCGGTACCCAGGCTACAATGACTCTTCAGTCAGGTTAGAAAACAGGGAGGGAGAAAGATAGGAATCCTTCCTCTCTTGCTTTTGTCACAATGCCAACTGCCTGCACAGTCTAATGGAACTGTCTACACTGATGCGTGTTCTGTCCCACATGGTCATCACTGTAACAGGTGGACGCTGAGCTCCTGAATGTGCATAACACAATGAGAAACTGATTTTTTAAAGTGTATTAAATTTTATTGAAATGTAAATAGCTACATATGGTCAGTAGCTACTGTGTTAGACAGCACAAGTCTAAAAGTTCTTTTTTCTTATTCATTTACAGCCTCTAGAATCACTCTTTCTCTAGGAAAAAAAAATAAAAATAAGTAGAGGATTCCTTTTATTTTAATGTAGAATTTTGCACTAAAATTTGCATTCTATTATAGTTAGAGACCTAGGAGAAACAGAACATTAATACAGTGTAGACAATGGAAGGACTGGTATCAAGTCCTAAGACCTGGTCCTTGATAGGAAAGACAAATGACAAGTCGCTCATCTATGTTATGCTGAGAAATTAATTTTGAGCTACAGACTTGAGATTAAAAAAAGTAGTACTTGTACATTATCTGTTGAAACATCTGTTATTGAAACACACTTATCTAACATTGCAAAATGGGACCAAAGAGACAAAAATTTTGTTCCAGAAATTTCTACTCTCTGGCTAAAGTTTGTGGGTCATGATTACAACCAAACATAAGTCAAGAAAAGCTTTTCAACTATTTTTGTGGAAATGGCATTTTGAGAGCTTGTAGGGAGTCT